CCCTCGACGGGCGAGGCCGCCGCCGGCACGGCGGTCGAGGAGCGGACCGCTCTTGCTGCCCGCTGGCCCCGCGAGTGCGCGCGCAGCGCCCTTCGCAGGGGATGCGGTCCCAGCTTCCTCGTCGTCGTCCTCCTCCTCCTCCTCGTCCTCCTCCTCCTCCTCTCGCTCCTCCTCCCTCCTCCTCCCCGTCCTCCTCCTCCTCCTCCTCGTCCTCCTTCTCAGGTCCTTCTCCACCTCCTCCTACTCCTCCTCCTCCTCCTTCTCCTCCTCCTCCTCCTCCTTCTCCTCCTCCTCCCCCTCCTGCTCCTCCTCCAGACATGCTCGTGGAGAAATCGCGACGAGAGATTTCTAACGGTTTTCGGCCCTCGCCAGGTCTCGGGGCCGTCAAGAAGCGGCTCAGGACGAAAAGCCGGCCTTGGGGGAAGGATCAGGGTTTCGGGGACCGCGTGTTGAAAAATTGTCTTCGCGAAGAGCCCAACCCTTTCTAAGCACGCGGCAGCTTTAAATTGTACCGTTCAATACATAAGAACACCCAGGGATCTGCAGTGCCGCTGCACGTTTTGCCGAATAACGCCAGACCGCACTTAACGTTGCCGCTTCACGCACGCACTCTCACGACTCGAATCGCAAACGGGAGTGGCACGACTCGCGCGAGGGGTGCGCCATAAAGGGGCGGGTCACCATGCGGACGCAGCCACTGTGGCCTTCGGTGGAGCCTCCTGTGGGACCTCCTCGACAGGTGTGAGGTGTGCGCCGAAATGGGGCGGGTCACCACGCTGACGCAGCCATTGGGTTTTTCGGTGGAGCTTCCATATTCGGTCACGAAACATGTGAGGGGTGCGCCGACATGGGGCGGGCCACCATGCTGACGCAGCCACTGCGGCCCTTCGGTGAAGGTCCCTATGGGGCCACGAAGCGCGTGAGGGGCGCGCCGACATGGGGGCGGACGCAGCCGCTGGGGCCTTCGGTGGAGCTCCCTTTGGAGCCACGAAGCGTGTGAGGGGTGGCGGGTCATCATGCGGACGCAGCCACGAGAGCCTTCGGAGGAGCTCCCTATGGGGCCACGAAGCGTTCGAGGGGTGCGCTGGACTATAGGTCAGGCCACCATGCGAACGCAGCCATTGGCACCTTCGGAGGAGCTCCCAAGGGAGCGACGAAACGTCTGAGGGGTGCGCCGACATGCGGCGGGTCACCATCCGGGCGCAGCCTCTGGAGCCTTCGTTGGAGCGCTGTATAGGGCCCCGGCACGTGTGAGGGGTCCGCGGACATGGGGCGGGTCACTATGCGGACGCAGCCACGTGCGTATTCGGTGAACCGCCCCATGGGGCCACGAAGCGTGTGTGGGGTGCGCCGAAACGGGGCGGGCCACCATGCGGACGCAGCCGCTGGGGCCTTCGGTGGAGCTCCCTTTGGAGCCACGAAGCGTGTGAGGGGTGGCGGGTCATCATGCGGACGCAGCCACGAGAGCCTTCGGAGGAGCTCCCTATGGGGCCACGAAGCGTTCGAGGGGTGCGCCGGACTATAGGTCAGGCCACCATGCGAACGCAGCCATTGGCACCTTCGGAGGGGCTCCCAAGGGAGCGACGAAACGTCTGAGGGGTGCGCCGACATGCGGCGGGTCACCATCCGGGCGCAGCCTGTGGAGCCTTCGCTGGAGCGCTGTATAGGGCCCCGGCACGCGTGAGGGGTCCGCGGACATGGGGCGGGTCACTATGCGGACGCAGCCACGTGCGTATTCGGTGAACCGCCCCATGGGGCCACGAAGCGTGTGTGGGGTGCGCCGAAACGGGGCGGCCACCATGCGGACGCAGCCGCTGGGGCCTTCGGTGGATGGGGCCACGAAGCGTGTGTGGCGGGTCATCATGCGGACCCAGCCACGAGGGAGAGCCTTCGGAGGCGCTCCCTATGGGGCCACGAAGCGTTCGAGGGGTGCGCTGGACTATAGGTCAGGCCACCATGCGGACGCAGCCATTGGGGCCTTCGGTGGAACTCCCTATAGGGCCACGAAGCGTGTGGGGGGTGCGCCGAAATGGGGCGGGTCACCATGCGGACGCAGGTACTGGGGCCTTCGCTGGAGCGCTGTATAGGGCCCCGGCACGTGTGAGGGGTCCGCGGACATGGGGCGGGTCACTATGCGGACGCAGCCACGTGCGTATTCGGTGAACCGCCCCATGGGGCCACGAAGCGTGTGTGGGGTGCGCCGAAACGGGGCGGGCCACCATGCGGACGCAGCCGCTGGGGCCTTCGGTGGAACTCCCTATAGGGCCACGAAGCGTGTGGGGGGTGCGCCGAAATGGGGCGGGTCACCATGCGGACGCAGGTACTGGGGCCTTCGCTGGAGCGCTGTATAGGGCCCCGGCACGTGTGAGGGGTCCGCGGACATGGGGCGGGTCACTATGCGGACGCAGCCACGTGCGTATTCGGTGAACCGCCCCATGGGGCCACGAAGCGTGTGTGGGGTGCGCCGAAACGGGGCGGGCCACCATGCGGACGCAGCCGCTGGGGCCTTCGGTGGAACTCCCTATGGGGCCACGAAGCGTGTGGGGGGTGCGCCGAAATGGGGCGGGTCACCATGCGGACGCAGGTACTGGGGCCTTCGGTGCAGCGCCACATTCGGCCACCAAACGTGTGAGGGGTGCGGCAAAATGGAAGAGGGAAGAGGATGAACAGGAAAATGAGAGGAGGAAGGAGGGGGAGGAGGAAGGAAGAAGACGCGCGGCGCTGCGAATTCAAAACGAGGACCCAACACACAGGATGGTTGGGAACGAGAGTCCCAAACAAGGGAGTTATGGGATGTGATGGGAAGAGGAAACAGGAGTATGAGGAAGTGGAGGGAGGAGCGATGAGGAAGAGGAAAGGAGGAGAGGAGTAGAGGAGGAGGAGGAGGAGGAGGAGGAGGAGGAGGACAGGGAGAAGGAGACGCGCGGCGCTGCGAATTCAAGCGAGGAACCAAACACACACAGGATGGTTGGGCACAAGACATCGCGTGTCTGGGGTCAGGGACTGTTGGTCGCCGAAGTGTGGTGGGCCAGAGCCGGCGGCGCGGCACGCTGAGCAAAAGCTCCCGACGGTTCAGACGATGGGTCTCCTCTTGGTGATCAGGACGGCCAGGGTCGCTGCAGCGACCTGGTGGATATGGTTGCGACGATCAGGGCTTAGACGACCAATGTCACTCTGTCGGGCGATCAAGACGGCCAAGACAGCCAAGGCCACCACGACGATGGAGACCCTCGAGGCCCCCTCCTCGGGCGGAGTCTCTGGGCCAACTCGCTGCTGCCAATCTGCTTTCCGATCCTGCCCGTCTCCCAGGCCACAGCTCCTTGCGTGAACCCACTGCTACTCGGTCGGATCCAGCGGCGCTCGCCCTTCCATCGGCGTCACCTCAACTTACTACGACTACTACTTTTACGACTACTACTACTACTACTACCTTTACTACTACTACTACTACCTTTACTACTACTACTACTACTACTACTACTACTACTACTACTACTACTACTACTACTACTACGACTACTACTACTACT